GTCCCTGGTTCTGTGTTCTTGTTATTGCTGTAGTTATTGTTTGTTTGTTTGCCTGGTTATACTAGTAAAGAACTGTTATTCCTATCCCCAGATCTCTGCCTGAAAGCCCCTTGATTTCAAATTTATGATAATTCGGAGGGAGGGGGTCTACATTCTTTCATCCCAAGGGAGGCTCCTGCTCTCCCTAGCAGACACCTGTCTTCTAGAACCAAGACAAAAGGAATTAAGCTTCAGATGGGAGTGAGAAATAAGCTGAAATATTTTTTTAATAAGCTGAAATACTCTTTTGCTAAAACTAAAGAGATGGACAATAGTGCTCTGAAAAAACTCCTTTAATTCATGAAACAGTATTTTGGGGGGAATAGAGTATTTCAAAGTGTGGATTTAAGCAAATGGTGAAGTAGTTGTAATCCTATGAGATGCTGAAACAGAAAAAGAGAAGTGATAGTTGTTGAAAATTTATGGCCCTTAAGAAGCAAAGAGAAAACTTCTGTTTCCAGAAACGATCACAGAGACAGATGAAGAGAACTTTTGCCTTTGAATAACTCATCCTTAAAATGACACCTCATCTTGACTCATTGGCCCATAACACACCTCAGAGTAATGTGAAATGAGAGGAGAGAACTGATGGTAGAATCTTCCAGGCAGCTGGCATCATAGAAAACCATAGGAAAATGGTTTTGTTCTGAAAAACTCCATAGATTAGCAGAAGAGAACTTTTTCTCTACAAAGACTGATGAAGAGACTATAGCAAAGTTGGGACTGTTTTAACCACTAAGGGTTTTTGTCTCTATGTTGTCATGTGAACAAGAAAATAGTTGAGTAGTAGAGAAAAAAGAGTTCTGGAAGTTTTATTCTGGTTTCTTATTCTTGTAGTTTTGCTAAAAATCTTTCTTTGTTCCTTTTAAGTTTTAAGCCTGTTTTGCTCTTGTTCTAATCTGTATCTCACAGCAAAAAATTAGTAAGTTTTCTAGTGATTTTTTAGCTAATGCTTTAAAACCATGACACTAGCCGCATGGCTTATGGTGGAAGCAATGAAAGGACGGGCTTGTGTTGCTGCTGCTGCTGCTCGATTGATCACAGCAGCTGAAAAGGATAGAGAAAATGACAAGGAAGAAGAAAATTATTTATTGGAAACCAATGATACTGAAATCCTGAAAACTGTGTGTCAGTATCCAAGACAGAGTTTTGGGGAGGAAGGGATATTGACATACATTCCTGGGTGCCTCAACCCTTTCCCTTGGCACCACCATTGCCTGGAGTAGCTGGTATGCCTGCACGTCCTTTACGTTCTCAGTCCCACCTGCCCCATCAGCAGAACAAATTGATCCACCTCAAGTACCACTCTCTATGGACATTGGTAAAACCAACCTGAGACACTTTACCTGAAACCTCAGTTTGAGCAACTTGTCAGTTTGTTACAAGAACAAGAAAAGGCAATGTCTGAGCTCTTGGATCATATACAAAGACTAGATAGGGGCTCCTCAAAACAGGCCATTCAGGATGCATACTGGAAAGCCCATCGAGCTATTAAGGATGGATTAAAAGCAGTTGAGGAAAATGTTTGTGGGCCAGAAAACAAAAGGTGCCTCTAGAGGGCAGAGAGAGTCTGAAAGAAATCCTTACAAGTCTCAAGTTATTGAGGAGATGCTGCAAATTAAAGAAAGATGAGCTAGAAAAAGGATAAAACAACTGTTAGAGGCAGGAGAAATGCACCCAGACGAAGCTGATAATTATCTACACAGTAAATTTGGATGAGGTTTGACTCAAGAAGAACATCATGTTTATGGAAAATTTAAGTCAGATCATGAAAAAAGATCACAGTAGAAACAGTAGAATCATAATGATTCTACTACTGCAACTCCACTTCAGAGGTTTGGTTACAATTGATTGGTTACAAAATAAGAAGGACCAAGGAAAGACAGAGTGTCCTCATGTCCCTTTGTCATTCCTCATGTCCCTTTGTCATCAGCCAATTCATTGATGGGTCCATCTCCATCTGGACCAGTTCCTCCTCCAGGTCCTCCTCCATAAGATCTTAATTATAAAGAAGGACAAAGATGGAGGGGAGTTATCAAACATGCAGTTATCGAAGGACAAATGTTACCATCTAGTACCACTGCCATACCAGATTAAAAACACAGTGATCAATGCTTTTGGCATCCATTTGATTGGAAAACTGTTAGTCAATTGCAATGGACAGCAATGGATTTTGGCTATGATAATGAACAAGTTATGACTGTAATGCAATCCTTTTTTCGAAATCAGGACCTTATGCGTACTGATATTAGAACACTTTTAGAAATTATTCTTCCTCCTACTGCATTTATGATGCAGTAAGACAAATGGCAAGAAAGACGTGAGGTTGCTATGGTTGAAAATCTTAACTGGCTGGAGGGAAATGACCTTTTACAGTTTGCCACCCTTGAACAGCTTATGGGTATTGGACAATATTGAAGTGGGGCTGCACAAACTGCCTTACATCCACATATAATTCAACAATCCCAGGCATTGGCATTAGCTGCACTGCAAGAATTGCCTCAAATTGGAACACCTAGCTGGCTATGTCATAGATTAAGGCAGAAACCAGATGAACTTTATATGAAGTTTATTGATTGCCTCAAAGAAGCCTTAGACAGTGCACCCCATCTTTCTCCTGATGCCAGAACAGCAGTGGGAAAGGATTTAGCATGTCAGAATTCAAATCAGTGATGTCGACAAATGCCCGACTGTCATGGGGTGACTTTACCTTTAAGATAGCTTAGGGAGCTGGGAGGAAGTTGAAGCTGAGAGAGGCTGATGGGAGTCTTTTCTTGTGACCAATTATTGGCAATTTCTAAGAACTGACAGCAGTTTTGACCATTGAAAAGTGAGATCAACTTTCGAACACCACCTTAAGATGTAAAGCCAGGGCTCTCCTGTTCTCTTTGGTTTCCGGCTTCTGACGAGGTAACAGGCTCTGTGTCGGCCTCCTCCCCGCCAACTCCAGGCCGGACAAGGCCACAGAGAGCGGGGCGGGGGGGGGAAGAAACAGAGCCGGACAGCCTGGCTTGGTATGCAGTTTCTGCTGCTGAACTGAAACCTGACACCATGAACATCTGCAGCTTTCCAAGACTTCAACTTTTTTACTACCTAGATGAGACTTACAGATTACTCCTTTTTCCCAGAGAGACAGAGAGAGACAATCAACATGAAAAAGACATCATAAAACCATCAAAGACAGTGAAGAAAAGAGTTAAGTTTTAGATGGGGAAGAGAGAATAAGGAGATGCTTTATAAGCTGAAATATTTTTCTGTTAAAGCTATGGAGATGGACAATAATGTTCTGACAAAACTCCTTTAATTCATGCCAGAGTATATTGGGAGGAAGGGAGTGTTCAAAGTGTGGATTTTGAGCAAAAAGTGGAGTAGTTGTGATACAGGGAGGTGCTGGAACAGGGGGGAAGAAGTAATAGTAGATTTGGGGCCGCTTGAGGCAAAGAGAAAACTTCTGTTTCCAGGGAGGCTCACAGAGACAGATGAAGAGAACTTTTGCCTTTGAAGAACTCATCCTTAAAAATTACATCCCTAGACTCACTGACCAATAACACACCTCAGAGTGATGTGAAATGGGAGGAGACACCTGATGACAGATTTCTGGGCAGCTGGCATCAGAGAAATACGAAACTATAACAGAAATAGTTTTCTTGTGAGAAACTCCATAGATTAGCAGAAGAAGACTTCTGTTTCTCTACAAAGACTGATGAAAAGACTCTAGCAGGAATTGGGACTGTTTTAAACACCAAAGTTCCAAAGTTTTTTTGTCTCTATGTTGTCATGTAAACAAGGGAATGGCTGGGTAGTGGGCTTTCTGGAAGTTTTATTCTGGTTTTGTTATTCTTGTAGTTTGTTAATAAACTTTCTTTATTCCTTTTAAGTTTTAAGCCTGTTTTGCTCTTGTTCTAATCCTTATCTCACAGCAAGAAATAAGTAAGTTTTCTAGTGATTTTTTAGTTACTGCTTTAAAACCATGACACCATCTCCCACAAGGGATTAGCCCCAGTTAAATGGTAGAAGCATGTTCTAGACTGCCACAACTCATTGCAGAGCAAGAGAAAGCCAATATTCATGCAAAAGCTCTTGCAGCAGCTCTGTGTCCAGCAGTGATCCAAGGAAAAGGGGATTCAGGACCTAAGAGCATTAGGAAAAAGGAAGGCTGTTTCCTGTGTGGAAAGCTTGATCATTTTAAGAAACAGTGTCCACAAGTAAAGAGTGCACCAGCTATCCCATTTGCTGGTATTTGCAATCATTGTAATAAGTTTGGGAAAAGGGCAAGTGATTGTCAATCCAGATACAAGAAGGATGGAACTCCTTTATCGGGAAACTCCCCACAGAACGCCTTGACGGGGGGCGCCAAGACATCAAAATTCCCCCAAGTGGTGGTTCCCTCAATGAGCTTTTGGCAGCCACCAGAGGAAGTGCAGACCTTGATTTGGCCGTGGGAATAAACATGACAATAAAAGATGATTTGGTACAGGTAATTCCTTCCAGTCACACGACCTCTGGGGCATGGGTTAAGTGCATTATTGATAGGAGGATCATCAGCTTCAAAACAAGGATTGATAATCATCCTTGGATTAATTGATTGACTATACTAGACAAATTGGAATAATGTTAAGAGTATTGAACCCTCCAGTCACATTACAAAAGGGTGACTGCATTGCTCAATTGATTCCATTTCAAGCACAGGTTTTCAAGGTTCTAAACAAAGAACGAGGAGACTGAGGGTTCGGATCCACTGATGCTATGACTGTTGCCTTTACACAAATATTTAATAACAACAAACCAATAAGGTCAATAACACTGCAAGGCTCAGATGGACTTACAATTCAATGTAATCAAGTTACGCTTGACACTGGTGCAGATGTTACTGTTATAGCTTGAGCTGCAAGGTCACCTTCTTGGCCTTTAGCTCCAGCAGCCAACATGGTTGTGGGTCTTGGTGGAGCTTCACCTACGAAACAAAGTGCGCATTTTAGTACTGTTATTGATGACAAGGAAGGACTTAGAGCACAAATTAAACCATATGTACTACACACAACTTTGTGGTTGCTTGGTCGAGATGTTTTATCCCAATGGGGATGTGTACTTCATGCACCTTTTTAGAAGTGGCCATTGTGGCGAGCGACCCATACCTGACATTAAAGCTGAAATGGCTAACTGACACCCCTGTGTGGGTTGATCAACGGCCGCTACCAGAAGAGAAGCTCACTCATTTGAAAGAATTAATGTGGAAACAATTGACTGTGGAGCATCTTGTGCCATCTACCAGCCCATGGAACATGCCTGTGTTTACCATCAAGAAAAAATCAGGAAAATGGCGATAACTGTGAAACCCGCCTGCAGTCAATGCTGTCATGCAAGATATGGGAGCATTGCAGCCTGGACTACCCAATCCAGCCATGCTCCCTCAAGATTGGGACACTGTGGTCATAGACCTCAAAGATTATTTTTTTGTTGTGGTGCATTGTTGTTCATTATATTTGATTCAATTGCACTCTTTATTGTTAAGTTGTACACC